ATAATAAGCGTACGTTGTAGTTTATGGCGGTTTTTTTGAGAAGAGTCGTTGGTAAGAAGTTTTTTCCTTAACTGCGTCTATGCGAGGTCACAAGCCGAGCCTACTTCACCTTCTCTTATCCTTTAGCAAATTCTAATTACCAACATCTCGTAGGCCGCGCTCGGGCAATCTTGGAAAACGGCAAAATTAATCTTAAAATTTGATACTTTTCTTGGACAATTAAATTAGAATTATTTTACCTTACTTTACCGCTGTGATCGAATATCACGCCGTTCCCCACGTAGTCAAACATTCCGAGAATAGTGACGGGTCGAGAGCGCCCTCGTTCGTCTAATTCACCATTGCTGTAGATTACAATGCGCTGCTGAGCATTTAAATCTGAAAAATTTATGTTCGAAATCTCATATAGAGGTAATTCTGCCGATAGCCGATGGAACGAGGTGGATTAAGGGCTTTGCCCATAAAGACGGAAAATCTACCGCACGTTTACGTGCGGGAACAATGTTGCATTGCATATTATTCCCATTATGTCGTAACGTTTTATTCATCGTTGGACGACTATCGCGTCTACACTACTCCCGTATCACGACTACAGGCGCACTACAAGTTTCCGGAACTGGTCACTTACATAAACAATATTTAAAAAGTAATTACAACATTTGAAAATGGAACTCTTTGTCTGTAGAACACAGTTTTCATCACAGTGTTTCATCTGACTGTCACTTGTTTTGGCATACTTTGGGTACATTGTGGCGTCATTTTAGAAATTGGTTGTTACCATGGATTTAACTCGTGAACATTTTCGTAGTATGATTTTCTACGGTTTTAAGTGTAACTTAACAGCTCTGCGAAGCTTCGCTCGACTTCAAACTGCTTTTGGCGAAGAAACACCATGCAAGGTGACTATTTATAGCTGGTTTGCAGAATTCAAACGCAGTCGTGTGAATCTCAGTGACCAATTTCGCGATGGTCGCCCGTCCACTGCTACGAATAAAAAAACATCGATGCTGTGAGCCGTATGATCAAAACAGACATGCATGTGACATACCATGAGATTTGAGCATCTTTAGGCATAGGCATGAGTCAAATAGAATCAATACTACACAAACAATTGAGTGTGAAAAAGCTGTGCTCTCCGTGGATCCCACACAATTTGACTGAGGCTCAAAAAACGGATGGCGTCACTTGGTGCAATGCCATGTTTACAAGATTCAACGAAGGGGCGTCAAATTTGGTGTAGGACATAGTAACAGGTGACGAAACATAGATTTATAGTTACGATCCCAAAACAAAGCAGCAATCGAGCGTATGGGTCTTTCGAGATAAGCCGAAACCAACCAAAGTGGCACGCGTGCAAGTGCCTCTAAGCGGATGATTGCTTCTTTTTTTAATAAAACTGGACACGTTGCTACTGTTGCTTTGGAGAATCGTTGTACCGTGAATAGTGATTGGTACACGACCATTTGTTTGCCGGAAGTTATTGACAAACTCCGTAAAAATAACCGTAAACGCCGTATCATCTTGCACCACGATAATGCCAGTTCTCACACGGCCAGACAGACTAATGAATTTTTGGAGGTGAACAACGCTGACCTTAAGAGCCATCCCGCGTACATTCCCGACCTGGTACCTTGTGACTTTTATTTATTTCCAATAATTAAGAATCAGTTACGCGGTCAACGATTTTCATCACCTGAAGAGGCTGTCGAAGAGTATAAAAAATATGTTTCAGAGATTGTCACGTAGAAGTGGCATAAATGTTTTCAAAATTGGCTCATTCGTATGAAAAAGTGCATTAACGCTAGCGGAGAATATTTTGAGAAACAATAAATTCATTTCTGATCATTTGTAGTATTTATTTTTTCTTATTCATTCCGGAAATTTATAGTGCGCCACACGTATCTGTCTTGACTGTGTCGTGGACGTTTACTATATGTAGTGTTGAATGACTGTCGTGTCTAGCTGTTTCCAATTTATCGATTCACGGCAGCCGCCTTGTCGTTTGCACGACAGAAGTTTGTTTGAAGCTGCGATTATCTGTTGTCACATTTTTTCGTGACGTTTTATTTATTGTCTTACGACTGGCGTTCTAGCTCTTCCCATTGTGTTGACAGACATAGACTTAGACATTCTTTATTGGTAAAATTAATATTTACAAGTCATAAAAAAATTTAAAATATTTTTGTATTATTTTCGTATATTACTATTGTAGTCACATTCAAAATGTGACCCAAGTCGGATGAAGCAAGGGAGCATGCACAAGTGGGGTTATAGCTCTGGGAGCGCATGTATTTGTGGTCTCTCTCCAGACTAAATTAAAAAATTATAATTAACTATCTTATATTACTGTTATTTAACCAATATGATAAGTTATATATTGATTGCTTGACGAGCCAGTGCTTTAATCTACATCTATCTTAATAAGTCGTCCGAAGCGGAACCAACAATTTCAAGTCGAATCAACTCACTGTCGTTGTAACGTCAAAAAATCGTGAAACTATATGGTAAACAACTTCATTTAAATGTACAAGGCACTTTAAATTGCAAGCGACTATCTGTCGTCACGACATAACGGGAACGCGCCTTACCACGATACGACGCGCTGCGCAGCGTGGCTTTTAGGCGTTCAAAGAAATACTCACTTCATTTAATGGAAATTAATTTTATATTGCATTGCTATCTCTAAAGTTCACGCAACGCAGCGCTGTCGCTTAGTAGCTGTCTATCTTTAATAAATGTTGTTTTTGTTTCTCTTTTATTAGAAGAAATATATACTTTATTTAGTAGAGAATAATGTTCTTTATTATATTGCATTTTATAAAGGGAATCCGACGCAGCTCGAAGCCGTCTCTTGGTGCATCTTCTTTTTAGTTTTTTGCTTAAAGAAACCTTATCGTGTAGAAGATCAAGTTTACGCTGCTTTGCTCCTGTTAATGCGTCGTAGCGTCATGTTGCTTGATTGCTGCAATTTGAGGCCCTTGTTCAGGTCCGACGTTATTTAAGGGATTGTACCCACCTTTTGCATCATAGTAGTCGAGAGCCAATCTACCGTTCCTGTAAAACCATTGTCCCAGGCCATTATCTTTGAATTCAGCTAGTTTTTCTCCGGAATCGTAGTGCATAACTCCTTTTACCTTATTATGTTCAAACCAATCAAATTCGGGATGAGCAGGACGCATACGGTACACGTTCGTCTAAAAATTGAAGCGTTTTACGTTTAAATTCTAATTACATTTCAAAAAACTTTTTATGGTAATCAACACCCAGGAAGAGAACTAAGCGGGATCCTTAATATCGCTAACACATGACCGGACGTGCACGATAATGTGTACGTTTGAAAGGGTTGTAACCCTAACTAGCCGTGAACAGGTTCACTGCACTGAAATGGGAAACTTCCGGTCCACAAAATTTATTACAGAAGTAAAGTTTAAAGAAAGGCCCTAAATGGGCTGAGAAACTGAATTACAGAAATAGATACATAAAGGTTGTAGACTTATAAATTATTACAGATGACTAGCTTATTAACAGCTCCGACTGTTGTGGCGGTCGAGCTGGGAGTGACCGTAGTACAAAACCAAGATGAGAAAGTGAAGGAAGATGGAACAATTCAAATTTAAAATTTAAATACATGTAAAATAAAAAATGATAGGATACAAGCGGAGAGAGGCGATACAAAGAGGTGAGAGGACGGTGTAAGGAGATCACACCGTCACACGTTATTCAATATTCTATGCCTCTTGCTGAGCTAGATCTCCCTACGCACAAATAGTTATCTGTTATGCAAGGCTGCAAAGTTGAACGCGACTGGATGTATGGATGTAAGCTAAGATTGAAAATAGAATCCTGAGCGTAGCGAGGGTTTCAAGGCACAAGACGCAAACAACCTTGCCGCCGAGCCAAACACACAACTTTTCACCTCACTATAGCGAGAAAAATGGTAGATGACAGAAAGGCAGTGAAACTATAAAACATCAGCTATTTTTTAATTAAAAGAAAAAGTTTATCTTCGGATACGTTCTAAATTTTCACCCCGTCAATTTTTATTGTTGATTATTTTTTTACTCTTTATTTATTTATTTTATCGTTATTCAACATGTCAGCCCCATTCGAAAAACGATACCTCAAGGAAACACCTAATAAAATCCAGACAATTCAAAATACGACCTAACCAAACATGTATACAAAATCTCAGCGGCAAAACAGATTGAAACCACCCAACGTTAAATATACGAAAATCAGCCTTTGTAAATAACACAACTTCGCAATTCGGTGAATTCACATTCCGCATTGCTTGTACTTTTATTTTGTGTGATTAAGTGATTATTGAAATTCTTTAGATCTTCGACGAATTATAATAATTTAATAAACACAACTAGTTATCATTGTCAATTTAATGTCAACAATGATAAGAATGAAATATACCAACGGATTTATGTTACGTAAATAAGTAATGTACGACAAATCGCGTAGTTGAACGCGTCATTATGTTTGTTTTGTCGAAAGAACAAGTTAGGTGCACCACAGTCATCGTCAAGTTCAAATTTCAAAAACTTTTTCCATGCTAGCGTGCAAAAAACGCTTTTTTGCGCGCAGATTTCTAATGAGAAAGAAAGCTTTTCCGAGCTAGTGAAGTGAAAAATATATTGCGTCAATAATAAAACCATTTTTAAATAGAACACCGCAGCGAGACTCAGACATATTAACTAAAAAATAACGGATAACTCATTCACTCATAATTTAAGTCAAATTTTTTCTCGATATATTTCGAACCAATTCGTGGTCCTTAATCATGAGATTCCGCGGCGGTGACTCGACGGAAACTGCGCGCCAATGCCCTGGCAGCCCGATCACTCAGTATGGCAGCGGGCGCAGGCGGAGTCGGCGAGAAACTACCCTCGTTTGCTTCATTGTGACTCACCATAAGTCACCAGTGACTTTTCACTGGTGACTTATGGTGAGTTTAGAAGTGACATATCTTTTCACCAATGAACCAGTAGACGAAAGAATTAAATCAGTTATTTTTTAGTTAATATAATAAATCCATTATGCTTGCGAGCTGACAGACTAAATTTTAATGTCGAGCCCATTGACTTACAAATAAATGGACGACTGGTCTAATACAAAAACCACGAAAAAAATGTCCCAAGTCAACCTATTCGAAATTTAAATTGTAATGTCATCGCAGTATCGCGCTGTCAGTCGAACAAATGAAGACTAAAGCGGAGTTTGGCGCTCTGTATACGATTTTAGCGCCTTACAAGTGCGGACACTTTTTAGCGCGGACCCGACGTCCATATAATTGTAAGTCAATGGTCGAGCCTATATTTGTCATTGCAATTCCATTATAAACCGACTTCAAATAAAAAGAATGAGGTTCTCAAATGGACTGTATTTTTTATATGTATGTTACGCGATTACGGCATTTATGAACCGATTTCGATGATTCTTTTTTTGTTGGAAAGAGAGTGCCTCAGTATGGGTCACATTTAAATTTTAAGAAAATATTCCACCTCTAAGGGTAGCAAACTAGGGGATGAATCTGGTTTCGCGCACGTTCCGGAAACCGATTTTTTTAATAACAAAGTTACAATTATTGTAACAATGAATGCATAAATTTGTCACCATTTTCGTTACTGTTAAAGTAACAAACGATACAAACTCCTTCCATAAGGACTCGATGTGTCCTACCAGGAATCAAACCTGAGACCTTTTTATTAAGCGCTCACTGTGAGCTCGATCATTAAACATAAACACACTCAAGTGTAATTGTTTCGGTTAAACAGATTTCATTACTCAGTTTTATTAATTATCTTTTGGAAATAAAAGATAATTAATAAAACCGACGCAACTATAACAACCACAAAACTTTACGGTGTTGGCGTCTGAAACGCTCTTCACAAGTTTCCATTTCCCTATTACTTGCAGTACCGGCACGCTATGATGGCCTTTTTGACGTTTGTCCGCTCATCAAGTTTCATATTAATTCATAACTACGTTGAAGGCACTAATTGCTGTACATTGTTTTGAATAGTGACGTGCAGTTAATTTTACGGAATGTATAATTTTACGATACAACTCGGCAATTGTTTTTCGAAATTTTTAAAAAGATTTCAATCTGATACGATCGTCACTTATAGGATCGCTGGCCAGCACAACTTATACTTATACTTAACTTATCCGGCAAACTCACGCCAAAGCTCAACGCAAAACAAAGCAGTTTCGAATGGACGATATATTAAGTAAAGATTTTTATTTTCGTTTTATTACTCAACTACCCCTTGCAATATTAGTTATAAATCCAAAAACTTATAGATGCGACACCCTATAGTTATATTGTTTACGATAATGAATTGAGATACTTTTGTAATCTGTCAAAACGTGTACGTGCCGGTAGTTTAAGGAACAGTGTTGTGTGTGTGTATACAGGTAATTAACATTAAGTTTTTTTGAAACTCACCTTGCGTACAACTTTCTCAATAGGCAGTAGTGTCCATCCTTTTTCTATAAATGTGCGATCAGATAGTACATACCGAAAAGCGCCTTCTTGAACCGTGTCCTATAAACAAAATCAGTTATCAAATCTATATAGGAACGTATCAATGAAATTTTTAAGGAATGATTGAATATCGAAGAAAAATTCATCGAAAGTCATTCATCCCCTAGTTTACCTAGTTTAGTTTATAGGGTGTATTATGGGGAACATTTTCTTCAAATTTTACTAGGGTAATAAGGTACCCTATTTCCAGTAAAAAAAGAATCATAAAAATCGGTTTACAAATATTGGAGTTATTGCGTAACATTCATACAAAAAAAGATAGTTGAATTTTTTTGAAGTAGGTCAAAAAACTCGATATGTACACTTTGGAAAACAATATTATTGTCATATAGTAAATGCTCATAAATTACAAATAACGTAAAATAAAATACCAAATTATTACTCAAATTAAATGACCTTGGTGCTATACTAATGCACCGGAGGCGGTGGCTAAATTCGAATAAAAAAGAAAAATAAAATATCTACTACAATACCAGACCTTCGATAATATTAGTTTGTTCTGAGTGTCAGCTACCATAGTGGGGTGCATTTCTCCAGGGCTTTGTTGTAAATCGTCCTTGAATATATTCTTGCAAAAAATATCTGCACGTTTCTTTGCTCCGGATCTATGCGCTGAGGGTATTTCATGTTTCTTAATTATTTTGTTTATATACACAACATCATCATCAGTTGAACTTTTCTCCATTTCTATAAATTCATGATCAAATTGGGATGTGAACCAGTCACCACTTCCAATAGTTTTTGTTAAACGTAATGGTATGGCCGGAAGTTGAGGAATAATAATAGCTGCGGGTGGCTTTCGCCGTTTTTTTGCTCTCTCGAATTTTAAAATCAGATCGAACAAAATATTATCATCAGCCTTAGTAACTTTTATTTTATTTATATCTACCAAATCTTTTGGTTTAGACTCTTTCTTTTCTAACATTTCATTATCTACCAATTCTGTTTGCTTTACAGTTTCTTTATCTTCTTCAGCACCTTTGCCTCTTGGTGTTTTCTTCCGTGTTTTCCCTTTTCTTTTATCCATTTCGTTATCAATTTGGCTTTCTAATTTATCTTTTTTTGCAGATGCGAGTGGTGCTTTTTCAGAGTCTGGTAAAAGTTCCTCTTTTAACAGTTTTTCGTATTTCGTGACATCAAGCTTTTCATCCTTTGGTCTTCTGGCTACTGGTAATATTTGTTCTTCAGTTTTCTCGTCCTTTTCTTTTCCAACTGCTTTTTCTTTATCAATTTTACCTTCCTTTTTTCCAGCACCTTTTTGAGATTTGGGTAATGTTTTTTCTTTATCAGGTGTTTCTTCTTTTTCTTTGCCAGATTTATCTTCTTTTTTTCTAGGTAGTTGAAAAGTCCCATGTCCAGGTGCAGGTAATGCTTTTTCTTTGACAAGTTTCATTTCTTTTTC